GGGAAAGTACTTTAAACAGTGTTTGGTACATGTAAGTGTACACACAAGTGCTCTCTCAGGTAAGTACATAGACAGACAGATAGATAGGCAGGCAGGCTAATAATATATGCTATCATTATTGTGATTGTTCTCCTAACATCTTAATGGAGTGTCTGTTACATATTAGGCACTCAATAAACATATGCTGAATGAATAAATGCTAGAGACAAGGAAAGGCCTCTAATAGTCTATTTTCTTAAATGTTTTTTTTCAGTCCTTTTGTGTTCAGCCTGAAGCATCCCTGCATTCTGCTGTATTTCTGAACCTTTCTACAGTGACTTCTTTGATTGAATGAGTGAATAAATAATGTTCTTAGGAGATGATCAACAAGATGTTGAGAGATTAAATATTGATAACAGTAACACTGATAGTTTATATTTGAAGGAATAGCCATTAATTACTCATAGTTTTTTTTTCCCCCTTTATTATTCTTAATGTTCAAAGTCTAATGTTCACGTCATTTCAAAGTCCTTCTCTAACTGTTGAGAAGTCTGTTCCGGCCAGAAAGCTTTAGTGTCCTCTAAGACAGGGCACAGAATGTTTTTGCAAATGACCTCTCTTAAAGAAAATTATTAATGAATTATTTTAAAATATTATTCATTGTGAACCATATTTTATGTGTACATTATAATTTTTGATATTTTACATTTGAAGCTTGCTGTTAAGAATGGTATATTTTAAAAATTTGTAGCTGTGTGTGGTGATGGATGTTAACTATACTTATTCTGTAATCATTTTGCAGTAGATATATATATCAAACCATTATGTTGTATACCTAAGACTAATACAATGTTATATGTCAGTTATATCTCTATTTTAAAGAAGAGATTGATACATAAAATATATACTGATAGAAGAAAGTTTCAAGGGACTTTTAGTTTATTAGTACATTTCATTTATTAACATGATGCATTTTGTTTCTTACTGCTTTGCAGGCAGATGTAAGTATAAAATTATGGAAAAATGGATTCACAGTCAATGATGATTTCAGAAGTTATTCTGATGGTGCAAGTCAGCAGTTTCTGAACTCCATCAAAAAAGGGTAAGCAATCTTTGTAAATAGAGGGATATTTTATTTATTTATTTATTTTAAATTAATTTATTTATTTTTGGCTGTGTTGGGTCTTCATTGCTGCCCACGGGCTTTCTCTGGTTGTGGAGAGTGGGGGCTACTCTTCGTTGCGGTGCGTGGGCTTCTCATTGTGGTAGCTTCTCTTGTTCCGGAGCACAGGCTCTAGGCGCGTGGGCTTCAGTAGTTGGGGCACGCAGGCTCAGTAGTTGTGGCTTGAGGCCTCTAGAGCGCAGGCTGAGTAGTCATGGCACAAGGGCTTAGTTGCTCCACAGCATATGGGATCTTCCCGGACCAGGGCTCGAACCCGTGTCCCCTGCATTGGCAGGTGGATTCTTAACCACTGCACCACCAGGGAAGTCCAAGGATATTTTAGATATATTTCATTTAGAAGATTCCTTTTAATGTTGTTCACATGTTCCTATGCATTCAAAGACACTTTTTCTTTTATAAATTCAGATTTTTTCATAAGGTGAGTTTTCTTAAAAGAACCACAGCTGTAATTTTGAAGGGTCAGGAATTTGAATTCTGACCAACCAAAATCTGACTTAAATTAATTCACTTTTTTTTTTTTTTTT